ATATGCATGTGCACAAGCACATACTCAGACACATTTATAGGAGGAAAGAAACACCTTTTTCCAAGTTTATTACTTAAAAATGGCCAAACTATTTTAGAAGAAAGTGTGACTCCTTTGTTAGGGAAAAATCATAAAAACAAATGTTTAGAATACATACAAGGCAGAGATTACTATTCCACGTATCTCAATGATAATAGAAATATAACAAGTCATAACAACCTTAAAACATTATGACTTACGTCCTGCTGCTTAGCATGTTGTTGTTCAGTCGTTTAGTCGTGTCCAATTCTTCATGACCCCATGGACCAGAGCATGACAGGCCCTCCTGTCTTCCACTGTCTACCAGAGTTGGGTCAGATTCATGTTCATAGCTTCGATGACACTGCCCAACCATCTTATCCTCTGTCATCCCCTTCTTCTCTTGCCTTCACACTTTCCTAACATCAAGGGCTTTTCCAAGGAGTCTTCTCTTCTCATGAGATAGCCAAAGTATTGGAGCCTCAGTTTCAGGATCTGTCCTTCCAGTGAGCACTCATGGTTGATTTCTTTCAAAATAGATAGGTTTGTTCTCCTTGCAGTCCAGGGGACCCTCAAGAGCCTCTTCCAGCACAATTCAACAGCATCAATTCTTCGGTGGTCAGCTTTCTTTATGGTCCAGCTCTCACTTCCATACATCACTACAGGCAAAACCATAGCTTTGACTATGCGGACCTTTGTCGGCAAGGTCATGTCTCTGCTTTTTAAGATGCTGTCTAGATTTCTCATTGCTTTCTTCCCAAGAAGCAGGTGTCTTCTTAATTTCGTGGCTGCTGTCACCATCTGTAGTGATCATGGAGCCCAGGAAAGTAAAATCTGTCACTGCCTCCATATCTTTCCCTTCTATTTGCCAGGAGGTAATGGGACCAGTGGCCTCGGGTTTTTGATGTTGATCTTCAGAACGTTTTTGCACTCTCCTCTTTCACCCTCATTACAAGGTTCCTTAATTCCTCCTCACTTTCTGCCATCAGAGTGGTATCATCTGCATATTGGAGGTTGTTGATACTTCTTCCGGCAGTCTTGATTCTGGCTTGGGATTCCTCCAGTGCTGCCTTTTGCATGATGTATTCTGCATAGAAGTTAAATAAACAGGGAGACAATATACACTGTTGTACTCCTTTCCCAATTTTGAACCAATCAGTGTTTCCATATCCAGTTCTAACTGTTGCTTCCTGTCCCATAGTGGCCCACAACCTAGTTTCAGGTTTTAAATTGAAATCTCAGGAAATAGGAACCACCGGACTAGCCACAGTTCCTGGTTTTCATGACACACATACATGCACATACATCAGCTGTAACAGATATTAACAGTAATCTTAGAACTGCAGAGCTGGAAGGGACCTTACGGATCACTGAGTCCAGCCCTTGTCAAGGAGGCATAGTGGGGAATTGAACTCCCAGCCTCTAGCTCCACAGCCGGATAGCTAAACCAGTGGTTCCTTTGTTATGTTACTCAGGTGTTTTTGAACTGCAACTCCCAGAAACCCCAGCCAGCAGAGCTGATTGTGAAGGTTTCTGGGAGTTGCAGTCCAAAAACATCTGAGTAACAAAGGTTAAGAACCAGTGAGCTAAACCACTGAGCTATCCAGCAGTTCCTCACTGTTTGCAGAAGCAGGGGCAAAGTGTTGTGTGCAAAAATAACTAGGAAAAGGAATACAGTAGTCTTCACTAAGAGGGAGTAGTAGCTGCAGAGGGAATGCCAAAACATCTCCAGCAGAAAACAGACAATGCATCCTTACCTTATTATATGCTGGCCTCTGTACTGATTATTACATATGCTGATTATGCAGTCTTCAGCTGTGTTATAAGAGAAGACGGTGGATTGAGTGTGAAAAAAATGGAGGGAAAGGTGATCCTTTCAGGTCCCCAGAACCTCTTTTTCATGTTTAACAAGTTTGCATAGTCCTAGAATACCTTCTGCTTCTCCTGCTGCTAAACAGTAAAATAAACAGGGTTCAGTCATGTCTGGAAACCATAGTTTATCAGAGGCCCTGACTCACTTATGTGCAGAGTATTACGTCCTCTGTCTCATGATTGTGAACATGACTTCTGATTTATGGTAAAAAGAGAGAGAGTTCCTTAGTCTCTTGTCTAGGCCTGGAGGCTAAACTTGGCTTAGGAAAACAGGTTACACTTGTCTCAACCACAGCTCCAGCTTAGTTTCTCACCCTCCCATTCGCTACTGGAAGTATGAGTAGGATCAGGCCAACTTGGGAAATAAGTGTGGTAAATGGGGTTGGTATAAGATGTTTTAAAGAAAGGAACAAGTATAAGCAATTACAATCTTAGCCTTCCTCCTCTCCTCATAAACATGATGTGCCTTTTAGCATGTTTGGTATAAACCTTCCTTATTACACTTTAATCCCATAGTATTCTGATGTATTGCCCTTGGCAACAGAAAACTAATCTTTGTCTCCATGGTGAAAGCGAGCATATGTTGGCCTACTGACACTGTGTATAATGCCCCCTTTTATTCTTTTCTGAGGAATACAAATTGCCATGTTTCTTCTCCCTATACCATTCTCTTCAAAATACTTTTCAGAATATTCTCTATTTATTCTCTTTTTAAAAAAATAGAAGAGCAGGCCCTGAACAATTCTTCACCTGAGGCCTGGCTAGCATCAGGCATTCTTATGTGATTTCTGCATTGTGTGTGTGCCTCATGATTCTTCTTTGTCACTACATTCAAGTCGAGTGTTGGATGCAGCTCACCACAAGCAGACCATGCTGAGTTGTAAAGAGGATTATATACATTGCATCTTCTTGCTGTGCGTCATTGTAGAATCGTAAAATCTAGTCGCCTTAATTTAAATTAAGACTCTAGGTGACATGGTGCTGAAGGAAAGCTGAGAAAGATATGGGTCTTGTTGAACTTCCGAACCCAGCAGGATGAACAAAGCAATAGCAGTTAGCCACACTGCATTTAACTATTTTGAATAGTTTTGGAGGGGGGGATTTCTATGACATGTCATATTTTTTCTGCAGCCTATGTTTGAGCTTATGGGTGGGTTTGAACATGTTTATGAGTGAGAAAGGCCAGATTACTCATAAATATGGTTTAGCTTGCTTATGGATATAAATGTAGGATGCAGAGAAAATGTGAACTGTCATAGAAAATCTCCCCCTACATTATCATAGTTACTGTTCCCTGCCCCTAAGGGGCAATCTCACCACACTCTGTCAACATGCCTTCCTTCCTTTTTCACAACAGTACTATTACTTGCTGCAGTAACATTCAGTTCAAGCAGAGTCGCTTCTATATATTTAGATTTGTTTATGAACCTGTTTTAAGTAGTAACTCTTTTTACAGGAAGACATATTTGAGAAGTTGAAAAACATAGGTATCTGACTCATTTGTCACCTCTGACCACAGATATGGTTCCTTAAGGTCATCAGATAATTCTCGGACAACTGGCTTTGGCACTGCCAATGTTTGCATGGTATTCTGATCACAGAATTAAGGCTACTAGACCTTTGTGACCATGAGTTGTTGCATTTTTAATGGTAGTTGTTTAGCCTAACTAGTTCAGCTGCTTGGATGTTTGGCCTACATTTTGCACTTTGGTACCAATCTCATTCTGTCAATCTTTTTTTCTTTTTGGTCATATTATCTCCCAGTGATATTTATGCTGTTTTGTTTCCAGCACTGCTCTCATCGTGGTGTGAGGAACTGGGACGGCTCTTGCTGCTGCGCCACCAGAAGAGCCGGCAAAACGACCCCCCGGGGAAGCTACCAATGCAGCCACCCATGAACTCCATGAACTCCATGAAACCCTCCCTTTCACATAGGTGAGTCCCATATAGACGTTTCCCCCCATCAACAGTGCATACCACATTAGTTCCTAGGAGAGATGGTATAATTGGAATGCCTGGTATTCAGGGTGAGTTTCCTTCATGAAGAGAGTTGTAGAAACCTTTAGAAGCTTGTCTGTAGTTCTGCTATGTTTGTGCCAGAGAATGGTGTGACTTAAAATACTTATGGGCATGTGTCCTGATTTATCTTGAAAGCCAGTCTCTTGAATTCTGCATTCCTCATATGTGGTAAATTATTCCCTATATTTCAGGCCTATTTGAGTTTGAACACCATGTCATTAGTCTTAAAACTTACGTGGGCAGTAGTAAGAAGCAGGCTACTACAAGCAACAGCTTGTACCTTGTCACTAGAGATGCTGGCAAATTTTCTCAAGCTACTCCCAGTAAATATTTTTGCAAGCCTCTAAATTTGGGTTGAAATAGAATTGGGAGAATTGCTGGGCGGATCCCTGCAGGATTCCATAACCCCCCCCCCCAAGCTATTGATTGATTGTTGGGTTGATGGTTTGACTGACTGATTGCACTTTTGACTGCTGCTAATGATGTATCTGGGTATAGAGTGTATAGAAATATAAAACATAATATAAGTACAATGATAATGCAGCAACAAATCAATAGAAAGAATCCTAATAAAGCTTCGTAGTTTGTTTATATAGGGGTGGGGAAAGGAGGGTCTGGGGGGGAAGCATTTATTTTTAAGCCCTCACAGTGGCTTAGAAAAAAAATGACCTGAGATATCTCTCCCCCCCCCCTTTCACAAAAGTGGATCTTCCCAGGTCATGTGAGTTAGCCTCAACCAAGCTTCAGATAGCTTGTCTATTTCAGCTTGCCATATTCTTTCCCCTTCTTTGTCACATTCTAGCAGCTGGATCACATTCCCTCCATATACAAAGCGCTACCCAAATACAGAAGGTGACACAATCACACCCAGTGCACTTTGTCATGACAGTCGCAAGACCAAACTCAAGACACTTTCACTTTTATTGTGTGGTTTTGATACCTGCTTCTCACAGAGCTTACTGTGATCAGCCTTTTCAATAGTATTCGAAAAGATGTGTGATATTTCCCATTGTTTTTGCTTCTGATTTCTGTTATCTAGCCTTTTGTCTTGTCGGTTTTGTTCAGCCTTTAAGTGATTAGTTGTGGGGGCAAGAAGCAGGTAAAGACATAAGCAACTGGGGAAATTTTTTATCACATGTTGTTATATTTTTGAGTGTTTGTCAGAAGTTACAAGAAATGCATTACTGACCTGAGTTAAAACATGGAGACCTTTATTTTGCCTTATAACATGCAGTGGTCTTATAAGAGAACGAACACATGGAGAGGCGACCAGAAGCAGATAACATAAACATACGTAATGCCCCAAATCCTGTTGCTTAGTGGTAAAAATCACAATAGAGTAGGCCCATTGAGTCAATGGAGATTTAGTGAGCAAACTCCTCTGGAGGTTTCACTGTTTCAAATGGGCCTACTCTGTCTGCAAGTTACTATGCTAAACTGCAGTTAGAGGAGATCCATTTGAATCAATGAAACTTCCAGAGAGGTTGACTCAGTGGGCCTACTCTATTTCAATTTACTCTGCTAAACCACAGGATTTGAGGACGGAGAAATAAGCTGGAAATGTTGAAGAGCCATGTGTAAGGGGCAGGAGCATAAAGAGCTAAGGGTCAAAAGAAAGCAGTTATCTCCTAGATGAATAAATCAAGTAAAATTATTTGTTAATCTTGGAATTAATCTAGATTGTTGATTTTGGTTATTGAAGTTAAACTATGCGTCTTGGAATAGTCAAAATTGTAAATACAAATGTGTGAGGTGGTGCCTGGAAGGTGACAATAGGCTTGCGCTTGGTGTGTGCAGTCATCACAGCAGTCATTGGTAACAATCCAGTGTAGCAATGACATTGGAAGAAAGGGAAAAGTCTAGATTTTCAGCCAGGGACTACAGCATGGTTTTACTCCTCACTACACTAGCAATCACAATTTCTTTTGTTTGTCCCATGCATGGTATGAATAATAGGGTACTGGTGAGAGAAGAGATGATGGTACTGCATAGTTGGACTTAATAGGTATAAACATAACTATACACAGTTTATCTGTAGTAGATAATTGTAGTTTTCTGTCGAAATCTAGGTTTTAATAATTGTCCTTCATACATGGCAAGTTACATTTATAAGTGTGTTATATGCCATCAAGTAGGTTTTCTGACTTTACGGTATCCTGCTACAGTTTCTAAGGAATGTGAGGTGCTTAAGGAATAGTTTTACTATTGGTACGCCCCCCCCCGGCACCTTGCAAAATGTTCTTTCCATGACTGAGTAAGGGTTTGAATCCAGGTCTTCTGAGTCCTAGTGTGACATTCTGTATGCTACCACACCATGTTTTTATACACAGGACAAACTAAGTACCGATTTAAACAGTAGCAGTTCTCTCCATAATCAATCAGATGTTTTCCTTCCTTGGTATATTAAAGGTGCTTGTTGCAGCTTATATAGCACATGTTAATGCTTTGTGGTGTCAATAACTGTGTCTGTGTACACACAGCTGCTCTTTACAGCACTCTCTGTTATCAGAAAACTTTTGCGCTTTCCTATCTTCTCTCATCCCCAATTTTGCCTTCAATATTAATTAAATGGCAATTTCCTTACTGCTAGTGCTTGTATTAGAATGGTTTCTTAGAGCAAGCAAAATTGATTAAAATAACAGATGAAGTTTTAAAAATACAAGTGATTTGATTCCAGAGGTTTGATAAAATTAAGCAGAATATCAAATTAACTACTAATTCAATTAGGCTGATGAAGCTTTATTATAAATTAACATTATTACCATTATTTGACATAATTGAAATTCTTAGTACCTGGATGTTCTTTACAGGTTTTATGAAAAGGGAAAGGGTTTGTTATTCCTTACGTCTTTTTTTCCTTCATTCTTCTCTTCCTACCTGCCTGCCTTCCAAGTGAAAATAAAAACTTTTTAAAAATAAGAAGCAGTGGATCGTACCCAGAATATAATATGGATTTCAGGGGAAATACAAACCACCCCCATGAATCTAAGATGCAACTATGCTTACACTAATCTTGTTATAACTTGTAAGCTAGATCAGCTATGCAATGCAAAGCAAAGCAAACGTGTGCTGCTTTTATACGGCCCCATAGTACTTAAAGCTCTTTCTGGATAGTTTGCAACCCAATTACGAAGGCTACACATTGCCTACCCACCCCCAGCAAGCTGGGTAGGCAGTTCATCAGGACAGAAGGTTGAGTCAACCTCAAGCTGGCTACCTGAGTCCGGGATCAAACTCAGGTGATGAGCAGAGTCTTCACTGCAGTTTAACCACTGCACCAAGAGGCTCTTATACTGTGTATGTTTCCATCCTTTGTAAACATCTTAGTGCAGTTGTGTGCATGTCATGTTCAAGGTGCAGTTGCTAGTTGCCTGAATTTTAATTATCAGATGAAAACATACTTGAACCAGAGATAGTTGCTCGCTGACAAAAGACCTGTAGATGCATAGCCTGAACTGCCTTATCTAAAAGATTTCCTGTGCACAATTACTGTGGTGAAAGAACCACATAATTTAATAGGATGTATATCTGAATAAATAGCCCAGAGAGCCATACCAAGCCAAATAGATGTAGAATTAATGTTATAAGTTTGTTTCAGTTGTTTGCAGATCAGCTAGATCACACAGTTGCAACATTTTCCAGCAGCTTTAGTTGATACAGTCTCTGAAATCCTATCAAACTGTGGTTGGCCTCACTCACTGCTTTGCAACCCAGAAATACTTGCTTCTAGACAAGACATTGGCCAAAACCAATGATTCTATGTTTTGACATAAAGTATATCTCCAGTTTTAAAATGCCTAGAGATATGATTTTTTTTTAAAAAAATCAAAGTTTATAATCTGGGTCAGTTGATGGGCTAAAATTGGCACCATGTGTCGTGTCTAAAATCCAGATAAAACATGGCCGCCCAATAATATGGCAGTCCTAAAGAGTTTGTATTTTGTGTAATACCAGTTATTTTTTTCTGAATTGTATTGAATTGCCAAGCACTTGTAAGAGAAGCTTGCATGTTTTAAGGAAACAGCTTTAGTTGCTAGTGTTAAATGAGAGGCTATTTTAGTTATTACTTTCAAGGCTTCCTAAAAAAAAGATAAAATTAAGTAGCTTTGAGACAACAAACTCAGCTTGGTTCCTAAAATATGATGCTAACTGTACTAAAGCCAGTACAGAATTCAAGCTGTGTTTATAACCAAGATTGGGCATAGCAGTTCAAGAATGACAGTGATCATGTATCAGGGCTTCAGAGGAAAAAGAAATAAAGATGGAGCTGGATTACAAAATGAGTCGCTTCGTTCATTTGTTAGAAAAAAAGATGAACCATGTTAGTTTTCCAATATATCAAAAATATCAGAAAGCATAGAGACAAACAGGTGGGAATTAATAATAGGCTTAAATTACAAAATGAGTTAAAGTGCAATACTGGAGAAAATTCATAAAATCATACACACATAAGCTACTTGGATATATGTGTATAAAACGTATCTGGCCTCAGACGGCTGAAGATGTTTTATTTCTTGAGATACAGAACTGACATCTCCACCCATCCTCATATGCCCTGCCCTAGTCAGGGTTATTTCAGTTTAGGAAGCAGAAACTTTTTCATGCACATGTCTCAGTAAAAGACCCATTGTTGAAGCTGTCTTGGTGCTGGCTTGCTCCTGTTAAAAAAGGATATAGAAGTAAAAAAGTAAAGGGGGCCTTTCCTTGTAACAAAGATTGGTAGGATGTTATTAAAATGCCTCACACTTAATTTAAATTTAATTGAAGCAGATGATTAATCAGCTGAAATGATAATCAACAAACAGACTAGTTAGGGGCCTCTTCCCACACATTTTAGTAATTCCTTAGTAGAACTGATAAACTTACAAACACATACAAACAAAACACTGCTGTTTTCTTTAACAATACAGTTTCAC